AGCACCCCCACTCATGACTGGAACCAGGTGTTCTTGTCACTAGTGCTAGGAAAGAGGGACTCTTTGGAAATGGGAAAGAAAGGTGTAGCTCAGGTGTGGGAGTGAAGAGGAAGTTAAAATGTATTCAATATACTAGCTCACCATAACTTGAAAAAGAGTCAGTGCTAAGGGGGACTGAGTACAATGGAAATTACCGTCTATTTTATTCAGAGGAGTTGTACTAATCTATTCTTGTGGTTTGGCTAAGATCAAACATAGCAATCCCACTGCTACGCCAAGCTGATGGTATCCATGTCCAATACCGTCTACTGGTCCAGGGACATCTATGTGGAGCACATCATGGGACAGTGCTAGTACATGGACTCTACCAGACTGCTGACCAGAAGTGACCTAAAGGGGACTGCCTGGCTGACCCTTGCTGCTACATCTAAAGGACCCTAAGGGCCTTTTAAATCCTGGACTCTTCCCTACCCCTACAACTGTGTCCCGTATGGCGCTATTTGTAACAGTGTGTATGATTACAAACATGAACACAGTGTGCCTCCGGTGGCTGGGGGGGGGCATGGCAAGCTCCAGCAGGTGGCAGCAGCGCGTTTAGTGGCACGAGAGTGGCAGCAGTAAGTTTGGAGCTGCTGCACTGTTGGCATTGAGGGGGAGGTGGCAAGCGCCGACCAGTGATTGGCAACCACCTGCGCCGACAGCGTCAGCAGTGGTGAGCAGTGATTGCAGACCACCCACAGATGCTGCTAGCGGTGTTGGCGGCAGAGGTGGCAAGCAGAGACTACCCGCAGGTGCCACCAGCAGTGTCAGTGGTGCCTTTTTGTAGGGGGTGCAGCGCCATGCTCAGGGGGTGCATGTGCACCCTCATACACCCCCTATGCATCGCCAATGTTACAAACCATCTCCCTACCCAAATGTGATTTTTGTTGTGCGGGGTCTCCTGTATATTGTTTGCTGTATAACTGTCCCATCCCCTTTCCCTCTTTCTCCCCTTCCCAACCCCTCACGCCTGGGCTTAGTTGGCTACATGTCCTATATGCAACTTAGTTGCATTCACGCCCCTACCCCATCCTCTACTATGTAGCCCCTCACTCAGGTCTTTTGTATTTCCTTGTGCCCCAACCCTTGTCATGTTGAACTTTAACAGTTTTGGCACCAAGGGGAAGTTATCAGAGCTGACTCTGGCCTTCTAGGTGTGGGTCTGGAGGTACTGCAATACTAGGCCCAGTGTCAGTTCCCTGTGGAAGGAACACCCACCCGCTTTAAGGAGCAAAAAAAAAAAAGGTTCCCATCATTATGTTTGCCCTATATGGGCCATGTGTTTCATAGTCAGGTTAAGTGTTGGCTGCATTTAATCAACTTCATAGTTGGTTTCCAAATTGCTTTTGGTAGCAATTTAATGATAGACACTGTATTTATTGAAATTGCCATTTATGCAAATGTAAGGTGAAGAGCTTTTTCTTCCATGTTTATTATGGGGAAAAACTTTTCAAGTAAATATAATTAATCGTGTCTGTTAAGTCCAAGACCACAACAACATGAAGGAAGACAGGAATATTTGAAGTTCCTTCTCCTACAGTTGGAGGTAACAAATCTTTTACATGGCATTGGTAGTTATCTGAGAAGTTCTGGTGGCATGGGTAATGTGTACTACAATGAAAGCAGAATTTGACCCACTGAACTTCTGAACTTAAGTAGGATTTTTCAAAAGAATTTAAACAAGTTAGGCATCCAACTCCTATTGAATTTCAATGAGATTTAGCCACCTCACTTGGCTTTGATGAATTAGAACCTCATTGAAGAAGTCAATCACATGAATAATGTGTTTACTTTCCACTGAATCCAACGGGACTTAAAAGGCTGCATCCAGTAGACATGTCTGCGGCACCACAAACTGCACCTTCAGTTGTTCTCTGCACTGCAAGGGAAGGGAACAGCGTGGAAGGTTTTTTAGACCCCTGGTCAAAAAAACATGCAGGGAAAAAAAAGCAGAGTGGTGCATGTGGCAGCAGTGTGTGCCACGCAAAGCCAGAGCCTGGCTGGCCAGAGCTGCACTCCACTGCCAGCCAGGCTCCACAGGACACAAGCGAAGTGGCTGCAGCCCCAAAAGCACGCCCAGACTGCCAGGTGAGGCTGCTGGGGCCAGCCCAGTGCTGGACCCAGACTTCCCTGCCTGACATAGGTTAACTTGCGAATACATTGCACAGGTGGTCCCTGGGGACAACTAGCGGCAGCACAAGGTGTACTGCTGCTAGTTGTACCCAGGGAACCAAATGCCCACACATGTCTGAACGTGGCCAAAAAATGTATGCTGACCATCAGAGGAACCTGTTTGAAGATCCAGGATAAAGGGTGCAACTTAGCTGAACATCAATGCTTACCTTGTTCAGCAGCCACTGAAGTATCACCTTGTTCAGCATTTACACTTAGGCCTCTTTCTCTATTATTTTTATTTTCCTTTGAAAACATTTCTCTTATTAACACTTCTTCTGGGGCTGCCTGGCCTACTTTAGACTAAAAATAGATCTTGCTGCTGTTGCGGCAGTTGCATGCAAACCACACATGGCCACCCACATCCAGAAAGAAATCTGCCTCCCTTGCTGTGCTTCCCTGAAATGACAAACAGGTTAGAAATCTGCATGACCAAAGGGGCAGCAAGAAAACACATGAGAACTACCTTTTTCTGCTGCTTCCTGCCTGTTGCAGAGCAGCAGAGAGCATGGACAGGCCCTTGTACTGTTGTTTATTACATACCAATAATATAAAGTAGGAACAAGAGATGTCAACTCTTCACAGGAGATAAATAGGAAAGGGAGGAGAGGCTGGGAGAACCCCAGTGTAACTCAAAGGTTCTGAAATTGCCCAAAGAAAAGGGTTTAGGTTCCAATACAAAGCTCTTCTCTAAACCAGTTTATATCATTGGTATAGGACAGCTCTGTATATCTAAGGTATTGTGGAAAACAGTGCATACTTAAGGGCAGAAATTTGCTAGGGAACTTAGAAGATCTTGGTTCTGACTGTGCCAGTGGTACACATGGCAACTTTGTCTGTGCCTCAACATCCCTTATCTGTAAAATGGAGACAGTAATCCTGAAAACCATTGTCGTATCCTTTGAAATCAGCAATTGAAAAGTGCTGCACTAGTGACAGGTTACTCTACCAGAGTCACTGTGTGCCTCTCAGTCTTCAGTGTCCTTATTCTCACAACGTACTATGAAGTAGGGAAGTTCTGTTCTCTCCATTTAACTGAGGTAGGGGAACTGACTCCCCCCCGCCATGTCTCTGGAGTGCCCCACCATTCCTGAGGACCCTCACAATCCTATTCTGTCCACCCACTCATGCTTGCACATGCCAAACCCAGAAGGAAGCAATGAAATTGCTTTGGAGGTGCTTACCACCACTGTCCTCAAGTTGAGTTTCTAGCATGCTTGAGGGCAGCAATGGTGTGCAGCCCCAAGGGAGCTGAAACACTTCATTTCTGTGCAGTGACAGCAGGTAAGCAAAACATGCAGAAGTGACACTGCCTGCAGCATGATGCAGACATACCTTGTGTGTCTAAGTAACGTGCCCAGGGGCACAGGGGATCAGTGGCAGAGCAGACTTGAACCCAGGTTTTCCTAGCTCCTTTGAACAACTTAACTGGGTCATCTTTTTTGTCTCTGGGGCCCAGTAGGTGGGGTGGATAAGAAAGAAATAAAATAAAAAGGCCAGTGTGGGAAGCTGTAAACAATGTGTAATTAATTCCTTCAAAGCATCACTACTGTTTTCCATAACCTCCCTTTTGATGATAATAGCTTTGTGTGGGAGGTAGACAAATCTGAGCGTAACACCAGGGGTATGGTGCAAATAATTATTTAACCCCAGAAAGCATTAAGCATGCAGCTCCTAAGAAAACTGCTGCAAAAAGGGACCAATCCCAGCACTCCAACTGCACTGTTTCACCCGTGTCTATGTGGCCGCTTACATGAGTAAGGGCCATTCATGCCTATGAGGGGCTTGCCAGGATCAGGGCCCTCACCCCTCTCCTTGAAATCTCACTCCACAAAAACTGGTGTGCGCTCTGGTTCTTAATAATGGCTGGCATCTGGTAAGAGCTGTGCACTGCAAGGAGCCTGTGAGGTGCCAGGCACCGTTTACTTCTGGGGAAATCACAGCCCTGGGTCACAGACCTCCAGGCTGAGCCCACAGCTAGGTGGACAGGCCGGTGCCCCCCTGGGGTGCAGGTCCAGTGCCCCCTGGGGCATGGGGCTGGTCCCTGCCTCAGAGTGTGGGGCCGATGCCCCCCTGGGGTGTGGGGCTGGTGTGCCTTGGGGCCGGTGTCCTTGTCAGGGTGTGGGGCTGGTACCCCCCTCAGGTGCGGGACCGGTGCCCCCCTGGGGCTGCTTGCAGGCCTGCGTGGGAGACCTCAGGTTTGTGGCTCGTAGAGGGGCAGTCCCAACCCGTTGGCTGGCGGGCGATGTCCGCGCGACCCTGGGGTCGCCGCCCCAAACCCAGCCCAGCCCGCCGCGTGGGGCAGCCGGTCCGCAGACGGCAGGGCCCTGGCCGGAGCACGCCGAAGGGCAGCCGTCCGCGTCCTCCTCGCCTCTCCGCGGGGCGGGTGGGCGCCCGGGCAGCGGGCACAAAGACGCGGCGGTGGGGGGCGAGGCGGGGGGTGTCCTTCTCCGT